GGGGGATTGAGGCAGCCTAGGGGTCTAGAGATGGAAACAAGAAGTCGGGGTTTCAGCATGGCTCTTTCTTTTCTGGCTGTATGATCTCAGATAAATCACTTCCCTCCCTGAGGCCCATTGTCCTCATCTGTAAAATGAGATTGATAGTCCTGCCTAGCTCAGAAACTGTTTCTACTGGGCTGAGCCATTACTTGTGAATGCACCTGTTAGTCATAAGTTTCCAGCATTTTACCAAAGGTGTTGGGAGTGCCTCAAAGCTCTTGGTTGCCTGAGGACTCTGATGGCCATGCAGGCTGGTGGGTGTCATCAGGAATGAGGGACAGGGTAACCATGGCTAATATCTGCTCAGACAGACAGGGATATGGAACTCTTGTCAAACGAGGGACCTGGGCTCTTAAACTTGACTTGGCCGCTTCCAAATGTCCAGAGGGCTATCTGAGAAGACTTACATTGCTCCGAGCAGGTCTGGGTCAGAGCCAGGTGCCAAAGGAGCCAAGCTAGAGGTGGTAGATTTCAGTTCAGTCTTTGGATACAAGTTTCTGAACCAAAGACATGTTTCATTAAGAAGTAATGAGCTAGGGGCTGGGGATTTAGCTCAGTGGTTTCACTGCCTGCTGTGCAAGCGCAAGGACCGGAGTTCGATCCCGGGTACCAAAAAAAAAAAAAAAGAAGAAGAAGAAGTAATGAGCTCCCCGTCACTGGCATGCTTCAAGCCATGGCTAGCCTGGCTGTTCACACTTCCTGTCCACCCAGGAAGCTGGGACCCAGGCTTGATGCTGGCCCAGTCCCCTCTCCTTCTCTGAAGTTGTGAGGGTCCTGACAGCCTCTCTCCGCCCATGTCCCTAGCTCTGGTCCTTTGTCCCCAGTCTCTGGACCAGTAGGTACTCACCCTGTGTCTCCAAAGCCACCACTCATGAATCCCCATTCCTCAGTGCCTGCACATATCAGAAGAGCCCCAGTACCTCACAGCCCTCTTTGTGCCAGCAATTTGTGCAGAAATCACCACTGCCTGTCCCAAGTTCCCTCGTCAGGCCCTCAAGCCCTTCTGGGAGGCCCCCAGGTTGGGATTTGGGTATTCCTAGAGCATGCCCACAGAAATGCCCATGTGGGGCCAGGTGTAACACTGCACACCTATAATCCCAGCACTTAAGAGGCTGAGGTAGGAGGATCACTGTGAGTTCAAGACCAGCCTGGAATACATAGCCAGACCCTGTTTCATTAAAAAGGAGAAGAAAAGAAATGCCCAGGTAGGGGACAGTACCAGCCCAGCCAAGTCAGGCTGCCTGCTGCATGGACACTGGTGGGCCCCTCTGACCCATGGTCTCCCAGGGACAGGGCTGGGAGAGGGAAGGGAAGAACCTGGCTCATGTGGCCCTGCTGTGGCTGTTCCTGTGCACGGGTATCAAAATTCCTCTCGCTGTTACATAATTGAGGTATTTTTTTCTTTTCCTTATTTTAGATCCTGGTGCCATCTGCCCTGCTTTTCATGCATCACCGACTCTGGGCTGAAGGTTAGATTTGGTGTGGCCATCAAGCTCTATCCCTCAGCGGAAAGAGACTGGGGAAGGCCGGTTTCCTTATCTCTAAAATGAGATCTCAACCCTACCTTGCCTACCTGCTAGGACAGCTGAGAGAATCGAGAATCAGGTGAGAGGTGGCAACGGCGGTGGTGGACTGGCTGGGTACCGGGCCTGGCCCTGCACAGATGCACAAGCCTGGCTGTTACCTTCAGCCCAGCCCAGAGCCTCTGCTCACTCACATGGGCACAAGAAGAGCACCCTGACCTGCGGAGCCAGGCTGTTAGGAACACAGAAAGTGGACAGACCTCAGTAGCGGGGTCTTTGGCAGACTTCCTGCCCCTGCTCGGAACCCTCGTGGCCCTGGGGTGGGGTAAGCACAGGGTGTACTCCATAGCAAGGCCCTGGCCAAGGATCTTGCAAAAACCCCTTGTTAACCCTCCAGCCATCAGAAGAGGGGTTCATGGTGGCTGCAGCCCAGGCCCTGGTTCCTCACAAGGCCTGGTGAAGTCCTGTTGCAGACTGAGCCCAGCCTGAGCCCCCTCCTGCAGCCCCAGGCTCCATCTGCAATGCTTTCACTCCTCTTCCTGCAGCACCAACTCGGGCCCACGATCATGAGATGGGTGAAAGACTGGGACCTCACAGGCCTGGGAAGGAGTTTCAAGGAGACAATAAATGCGTGGTTCCTGGTTGAATTGGCCAGTTTGGGAAGTTTATAACAAAATGCCATGGACTGGAATGTACAGAACAGAAATTTAGAACTGGGTGTGGCGGTGCACACCTGTCATCCCAACACTTGGGAGGCTGAGGCAGGAGTATCACCACAAGTTGGAGGCCAGCCTGGGCTACATAGAGAGTTCAAGGCCAGCATCAACTACAAAGCAAAAGAACAGAGATTTATTTTTTTATTTCCATAGTTCAGGAGGCTGGAAGTCCAATATGCTGGGGGAGAAATCTCTCTCTTTCTCTTAGACCACAACTCTTCATATTGATGGTCCCGTTGAGTTAGCATCCCACCCTTTGGAGCTCACTTGTCCTTAATTTCCTTTCAAAAGCCCTACCTCCAAACACAGTCATGGGCTTTGGCAGATGAATTTGGGAGGATACCATTCAGTCCAGAGCCCTGGCTGAGGGCTGCTGGGGCTGGCTGAGGACTAAACTTGGCCCTGTTTAAGCAGTACCTCCTGCTTGGGATATGGGGGATCCTTCAAGAGGCCCAGGCCCAGAGCTGCAGGCCTGAGGCGATGCCAGGAGAGGGGTCCTTGGGCCTCCCTGACCAAGTACATCATCCTAGGGTACTGGAGATGTGACTGCTCTCCAAGACAGGCCCCGACCTACCATTTGTTTTCAGCAGGACTGGACCTATCCCACCCCACCAAGAAGGGGCAGCTCTCTGCGGGCAGAGCCGGGTGAGGGTGGGGGGGTGTTGCTTGGAGATCAGACCAGCTGAGCCGCCCAGGCTGCTGTGAGCCATGTGGTAGTGAACAGTACCCCTAGGAGGGTGAATGGTACCCCGAGGAAATTGTCTCTCTCACCTGAGTCTGCCCGGATCCATTGTGCCACCAGAGAGCCAGTTCCCTTCTTTGGGTCTTGGCTATGTCATCTGTAAAACGAGAACAGCCTCCGTTTAGCTCAGCCTACCTGCCTCTCATAAAGATCAAAACTATATCCTACACCCAGGTTGGTTCTAGGCTGCCAGAAAGTGAACGGTAAATGGGAGGTTGTTAATAAGCATCAAAATTAGTTGGAGGGACGATGCCCTGGGCTTCTCAATCACTGGGATAAAAATTAAAAATGGGAGCAGGCTGCAGGCTGGCCCAGAAGTCTTACCACTGAGGACCCACAGGCACATGTGGCACCCCTAGAGTTCCATTTACTGCCACCCACTTTCCTCTGGTTCTCAGGGAGGGCCGCACACATGTGGCCCCAGGAGTTACATCTGTCCTCTTTTATTAAGCCTGAAAACAAATTCTCCTAAGATGTAAAAGCACAAGATTCTGAAAGGCTCCTGCTGGAGGCAAGCTCCGTAGGACAAAAACATCTTGTTATGCAAACACAATTGCCACCAAGGGTCCCTCTCTGGGCTTAGCAGCACCTCCTTGGCCTCCCCTACAAACAGAAGCTGGAACAGGACACCCCTGTTTGAAGACAGAGGGGACAAAGTCCCCAAAGGCAAGCTGAATTTGCTCTTTGTGAGGTCCTCCTTGGCACTGCCTGCACCCCACGGCCTATTCCAGCTGCCAGGGTTCCTCTGCCTTCTCCTGGCTCCAGGCTCCAGCCAGGCAGCTGCTAGGACAGCAGCAATGCTGCATGTAAAGGGGCCCTGCTTCTTTGTTCCTAAGCAATTTCCGGGGTGGGGGTCACGCGCCCTTTGTGAGACCTGGGCTTGTGTGAAAGCTCCGGAGTTGGGAAGGAAGCTGGTTCTAGCTGCAGAGAAGGCGGGCGCCCTCTAGTGGCAGCCTAGCCCTTCCAGGGAAAGGTGTGGAAGCTAATTTTGATTTGATTTGCAAAGCTGGCACTCAGGACCCTGCCAGAAGCCTGCAGCCACCTGGAAGACGTGGTGCTTGGTTTGGGTCCAAACATCCAGGCTCTGAACAATTGCGGAGATGGCAGCCTTCAAACCCAAAGCTAAGTAGTAACACAGACTATGCCTAGTAGTGTCCTGGTTTAATTAAAAGTAAAGCACCAGGAGGAAGGTAAGCTACTGATAAAGGGTACCCTAAAGCCCTGGATAGCCAGTGCGTGCGCGTGCGTGCGTGCGTGCGTGTGTGTATGTGGGTGTGGGTGTGATATGAGACAAGCAGGGCACCCTCACCACTTCTGGGGAAAAGGTGCCCAGTGCTTGACCCTTGGCACAGTTGCTCCATCTGTAGCCCCACCAACACCAGTCCTGCCCCAGGCAAAGCCAAGCAGACCCAAACCAGAAACAAACTCCCTTTTAGCTAAGAGCACCTCCACACAAGCCTAGCCCAAGTCCTCAAGGAGAGTGGAGAAATCTCAAATGAAAACCTCAGAATGACCCACGCCCCTTGCATAAAGCCAGCTCAAAATCACTGGCTGCTGGCTGAACTCACATAGCACCATGCTGGACTTGAACTTGCAGTCCTTCTGCCTCAGCCTCCCAGAGTGCTGGAATTACAAGTGTCCACCACCAGGCCCCGCTCACACAGCATCAGCATCATGGATGTGCAAAGGGGTACACAGGGGGCATGTGTGCAAGGGACAGGAGAGGACACAGGCCGGTCAGAGGATTTCTGGATAAAGGGATAAATGGAACACCCCAGAACGCATGTATGTTCTACGGCAGTGGCAGGAGCACATTTACAAGTAAGAAGGGGGTTATTTCACATGTCCTCTCAGCTGCAAATTCTTCACGCACAGAATCAAAAAACATCTGTCCTTCTTACTCATAGGGCTGGTTTAAAGATCAACATTTTTTGAGTTAATGTTTTGGCTTAAAGGTGTAAAAGAATATGGATTCTATTCTACAATAAATCTGTTTTTAATATAAAGATGTTTCCCAAAATTTTCATACAAAATCGAATCCAGACAGATGCGCCATGTTCACCCCAAGGTCTGGGGAACCTCGCCTGGACCTTGTTTTGTGAAGACTCAAGTCACTCACCACATGAACAAGTCAGGCTGGTTAATGCTACAGTGAGTCTTCCTAAGAGGAGGAAGTGTATGTGCTCCACCCACCCCACCTCCTCCGTCCCATGGGGCTCCCTCACAGGTCACAGCCAAGCTCTTCAGTGTATGTAGATCATGTCGGAGACAGCTCCAGGCAAGTGGGTCATGATCTGCATGCGCAGCCACCAGTAGTAGTCCATGGGGTGGTAGCGGGTGTAGGGGGTGGTGGTGGTCAGGGCATGTGTGACGGCATCGATGACGGGGGACGTGTCTGTGGAGCCGCTGTTGCAGTAGGTCTCCATCTTGGCGATCTTCTCATCAAAGTAGTCCCTGCCGTAGTCCTTGCGCACGACTTCGGGCAGCTCATCCCACATCTTCTGGGCGATGGCCTGGATACGCTCGGGGCTATAGAGGCTGGTGGCAGCAATGTAGTTGCCTGGCTCCACCACACTGACCTTCACCCCCAGGGGGTGCATCTCGTAGCGCAGGCAATCAGAGAAAGCCTCCACCCCAAACTTGGTGATGCAGTACGGGGAGCGGGCTGGGTTGGCCATGCGGCCCAGCATGCTGCTGATGTTGACCACACGGCCTATGGAGGGAGACAGCAAACACTGCTCAGGTGGCACCGCCCTGACACAGACACCTGGCTGGCACCACTTCCGAACTGCCAAGGGTCGGGGGCCTTCTCATTCTGCAGCCACAGCCAGCCTGGGGCCTCGCCTAGGTCAGCATCCCTGACCTTCTCCAGGGTGTGCCAGCCAGGAGGACAAAGGAGTGAGAAGCAGCCCTGCTTACCAGGAGGGCACAGCATAACAGGCAACACACAACCAACTCAAAAGCAGACACAGCCCTGCCTCCTGTTCATACTTGGGGTAAAAATGCAATGGAAAAATATGGGGGCAGGACAGCTGTGACCATGGGGATCTGTGTGTTCACCCCAGGCAAAATCTGATGCTGGTCAGGGAGAAAGATAGGATGGAACCTCCTCCTTCTGCCCAAGGAGCTTAAAATTCAGCTCATCCAGTATGACAGTGAATCCTGATTGTCAGCTTGATTAAGAGATGCCTTGATGGACTGACCCACTGATGAGTTCATAGCTGAAGGGCCATTAGGAGTGGGGGGCTAGTGGGAGGAAGCAGGTCACTGGGGGTGCACCTGTAAATGACATATCTTTTCACAGGCTCTTTTCCTTTTTCTCTGCCTCCTGGCCACTATGAGGTGAGCAGTTTCTCTCTACCCGGCCCTTCTACCATAATGCTTCTGCCTTGGAGCCAGGCAACCATGGACTGAACCCTCTGAAACCATGGGCCAAAATAAACCTCTCCTCTTTAAACTGTTGAGGATTTTGTCTGCATCGCAGGGCAGTGCCACCTTAGCAGGTGACGAATGCACTTAGTGAGATGTACAGGTAATTAGCACACTGAGTCTATGTGTGTACTGACCAACAGCAATGCTAGGGATGGATGTGGGGTTGTAGCCCAAGACAGCCTGACACACAGAGAGGCAGGCTGGGGCAGGGGCAGGGTTCTGAACCTGATTTGGGGGCTGGGCAGGACAGCAGACTCTCCAGCACTTGAAGAGTGGTGACCTTGAAAGATGCCCAGCCTGGGCTGTCAGGGGCCACCATAGCTTCTCTCAGTCCTGGGGTAGGATTGGAGGTGAATCCCACTCAACCAGTCAGACCCAGGACTGCTCACCCCTGAGTGCACCAGGCAGGAACACAGCCCATCCTGGGGTCACGACACTGCAGGGTGACACCTTTTAGAAACCTCAGTTTGAGGTCACTGAAGGGTGAGGATTCTTTTTAAACCTTATAGGTGCACTCTGCTTACATTTGGCTACCCACTATGGTTTGGGTGTTTTGTTTGTTTTCTAAATGCCTAATCTTGATTAATATTTCTCTTTAACTTTATGCCACAATTGTCTCATGTTTTAGTTATGATGTAAATAGCGCACAGAATGGGGAAACTAACATTTATTTAACCATCTGCTATGATACAATGATGGGTATACCTGCTCTACTTTCTGAAGGCCACACACCCCTTTCCCTGCACTTGGCCATGCACCTCTGCCCACCGCTGCCCACTCATCTAGCATGGCGCTAGGACTCATAAGCTTAGCTTTGCTGCTGTGGATGGGGGATCTGGAGGATCTCCATCCTGGGCAGATTCAGGGGCAGAGAGCAGCTAACTTCCCAACTGACCTTTGGCTCTTCGGAGCAGGGGGAGGAAACATTTTGTTGTCCGCACGGTACCCCAGAGGTTCACTTCTGCCACCTCCTTGTAGGTCTCCATGCTGGTGAACTCCACCTCCCCAAAAGTCGAGATGCCTGCATTGTTAACCAGGCCCCACAACCCTGGACAGAAAATGTGACAGTTAATCTTGACTGTCAACTTGATTGGGTTGAGAGACCCCCTTGGAGATGAGTGAAGCACATTTCCGGGTGTGTCTGGGTGGATCTCGGGGTGACCTTGGAGACTATATCTGGTCCCTGACCCCTTCTCTATGGTGCTCTTCCCCTGTGCTCTGCTTCCTGGCAGCTTTGCTCCACCAGGCCTTTCCACAATGATGTCCTGCCTTGGAGCCAGGTGACTGTGCACTGAACCCCCTGAAACTGTGAGCCAAATCAAACCTCTCTTTCTTTAAATTGTAAGTGTTCGGTGTTTTGTCCCAGCAACAAGAAAGTTGACCAATTCAGGAGAGGACACGACTGTGTCACCACATGGGCCTGGCCTCAGATCTCACCTGTCAGCCTGCAGCCCACCCTGTTCCCCTTGGTCTCCTTTCCCAATGACTTCCAGTATCTTGCCCAAGGCTCTCAGAAAACTTTCTAGAGTCACCCAAGAATGACATCAGATAGAAGCCTAAACTCCTGTTTGCTGGACCGTCCCTCAAGTCTGGAATGTTCATGCCCAGTGTCACCTCTGCTCCTTCCTGAGACCCTCCTAACAACCACTCTATTCTCTCATCTTTCTCCTCCTAATCAGGGCACAGTATGCTGCTCAGCACATGCGAAGGCTCCAGGACTCAATGACCTGTTCCCTAGTGTCCCTTAGCCAGCAGAGACCCACCTCCTTGGCATGTGTGTGCAATGTCCCAGAGCTCAGAGGACACGCACACTCTCACACTGGTGGAGTGCTTCCCACAGGACCAGCTAAGGGACAGCTGGCTCTCATAGACACAGAGAATGCAGGTCTGGAAGGCTCCTGGGGTTTATCTAGTCTATTGACTCATCTTACAGGTAGAGAAACTGAGGCCCGAAAAGGAAAGCCAGCACTGAAGCCTAATCAGGAAGTTGGAAGTATAGCTGAATCCAGGGAAAGCAGCCTGGGGAGGCAGCCCTGCTCGCAGGGCCTCTTTGGAATTCCGAGTTTTGGGGTGCAAAGACAGATGGGCAGATCCCCAGGCCAGGGCCCGACTTTCTGCTGAGGAACCCTCAGGGCCTAGCCACCTCGAGGTTCAGTCCCAAGCCCCTTCCCAGGCAGCGTCACAGCAGAGCCCCCTCCCTCCCTGGCACCCCCTGCCTGCGGGAACCCAGCCACTTCCTGAGCCCATGGAAATGAGTTGTGTCAATGAGAGAAATTGCTCCCCATCGGTCTTGACCAAATTAAAGCTCAACTGACCTCTGGTGCCTTCTCCTTCAATTACAGAGAATTAAGGACATTTATCAAGGAAAGGAAATTGCTGGTTGACAAAGTGTGCAGAGCCCCTCGCTGCTGCCTGCAGGGACCCCACAAACTCCAGGCAGACCTAGTGACACCATCGAGGTGTCTGCCAGTGACAGCCCCCCAGATCCCACCTTCTCCCTGCAGACTCCCCTCACTTGGGCTGGTCCCCTTCTTTTCCTCTCATGTGACTTCATCTTTCCCCTTGCTCCTCGCTCCCTCCCTCCATCAATGCACACATTAGGTGCTCAATAAACATACATTATTGGGCATGACGGTGGATGCCTGTAATCCCAGCACTCTGGGAGGATAAGACGAGAGGATCATGAGTTCAAGCTCAGCCTAGGTGATTTAATGACTTTGTGAGACTCTGTCTCAGAAGAAAAAAGAAAAAAGGGGGCTGGGGAAGGAGCTCAGTGGGATGGGTCTGGGTTCAAATCTCAGTACTACAAAAACAAAAGAGGGTGTTAGGTGAATGAATGTCTGCGGACACCTGCCTCCAGACCTAAACACTCCTCTGTCCATGCAGCTCACCCTCCTTGGTCCATGCCAGGCTCCTCCTAGGCACACGCGCTGCTGTCTCTGTCCTGTCACACTGCTCTCTGATCCAGTCCTGGGCTGGAAGGACCTCTCCAGTCTCCACTCCTCTGCTCTCTAGGATGTAAGTGCCACTGTGCTCCGGACACTCACCATTCCCTTGGTATTAATGACATCCAAGTGTCATCCTCCTGCTTCTCCTACACCCTCCCTACACCTTTCTTCTACCTGACCCCCCTTCCCTGAGACAGGTGTCCCTTGCCCCATGTCCTGTCCTTGGCCTGCTTTTCTGTTTGTGGGATTTTCCAGTGGTTTGGCGCTTGATTCATATGGGATAACAGCACCTGATCTAGAAAGCACGTCTGTAGTCCTTTTCCACCTAGAAACCAAACACTGCTATCCAAAGAGGCTTACTGAAACGCGAATGCTCCTGCTCCTGGATCACTGGCTTTACAAGTAGTAAGCAGGGACTCAGGAGCAACCCAGAGTCCTGAGGCAATGTTCTGAATAAACACGGTGGTCCTGATAGCGGCGTGGGTGTCAGCCGATTTCCTGGAACAGCCCCGACATCCCCTCCATGTCAGGCTTCCCGGTCTCCTCTTCCCCACCCTGATGGCCACTTCCATCTGAATGTCCCACAATGTCAAGTCCCCAGGCTACTCAAACCCACCTCCTCTGTTGGTGGCTTCACTTTCATTTCCAGGTCCTCCCCTCCTTCACTTCTCCCAGACCTGAGTCACCAGGACTGTTAATACGAGGCCTGATGAAGATCAAATGACAGCTGCCAGGCTGGAACTAATGCCGATCTCACCTGACCGGCTCATTAACTCACCTGATCCTCATAACCAACCAATAATGTGGTGCTAAACTGCCCCACATGTAGGTGAGGCAACTGCGGTCAGCGAAGTCCATTGCTCAATGCCACCCACTAGCAGATAGGAGAGATGGGATCTGGACCCGAGTCTGTCTGAGGACACAGCCCCAGGCTGTTGGTTTCCCCTGCTGAGCCGCTAGAATCACTTCTTCCCTCTTGCCACTTGGATTAGTCCTGGGTCTCGGGCACCTCTGCAGCGCTCCCGGGTCTCCTGACCCCCGCTTTTTTCTCCATCCTCCTCAGCAGCCTGGCCCTGCTTCTGGGTTTCCCATCGTGCACTGCAGCCCACACGGCCTTCTCCAGGCCTCTCCCCACTGGCTGTGCCCGCTCCCTCTCTAACTCTGACTTCGAGCCCCTCCTGCCCTGCTCAGCTCCTGCCCTCAGCCTGAGATAGGCTCTGGGGGAAATCCTCCTGAGCCCTGCACAGTCAGACCTAGGCATGGCCCGTGTCACAGACAGACAGCTCACACCAGAGCCACACTTCTCAATCTGGTTGTCTCATCTCAGACAGAGGCTGTGCCAGATGTAGGGTCTTTCTGTCTGCAGCATAATGTCTCCCAGGGCTGCAACTCAGAGGTCGTGTCCTGAAGCCACCTGGCTGGTGTTCAACAAGTTCTTCCTGCCAGGTCAGACTCCTTGGTCCTCAGCTCACTACCAAGTATACAGCAGGTGCTCGGTAAATGCTTACTGCCTGGTAAGCAAGGATGCCAGGATTAGGCCACTCCCCCAGCTGGCGTGGGGGTGGGAGGCTGGGGATAGACGCCAGGTGTTCTGTCCCTCATAGCCTTGCTAGCGGGGAAAGGGGCTGTGCAGGTGGCAGAGTCCCCTTCATCTTGCCCCTCAGACACCTCTCCTGCAAGGTCCCTGCCTGGTGAGTGTGAACCAGAGGTGGCCGCAGCTGGTGGGACGTACTGGGAAGATGCGCCGTAGAGTTCAAAGCCACACTGCCTGAGAGGAGGGGCTGAGCCACCCTGCAAAAAGACAGCCCAGAGCCAGTAGGGAGAAGGGGACAGAAGAGGGAAGAGGGGAGGTGGAGGAGAAAGACAGGGAGGAAGAGGAGGAGGAGGCAGGCAACTGTCTGACACATGTGTTTTCTTTTTGGAACCTAAAAGTCTTCAGATCTTTTCCCAAAATATGCAGGAGTGGTCAAGGACGGCCACAGTGAGTGGTTCATCAAACGTGCCCGGAAAGGTTTGTGTGTCTGGGTTGGCACTGGGCAAGGGGACCCCTTCCCACGGGTGGCCAGGGCGGAGAGGACCCCGGCTAGCCCAGCTAGGCAAACTGGCCAGACCAGTACAGGGAATGGAGGTGATTCTGCCCCAGTGGCAGGGGACAAGGGCCAGCCCCGGGAAAGCCCCGTCCTGTGCTGAGGTGGCTGGTGGCTTCCTGGGCAATTCAGATTGCCACCACCCACAGGCTGTAATGCGCCGGCTTCATGGCGCTGCGGCAGGTATTCTGGTGCCTAACACTTTAGGATGGTAACATCCCAGCTGCAAGGGAAGAGAGAGCGGAGGGGGGACAGGAGGAGGATTTACCAGGGGCTGTGCCTGCGCCTGGTAATCAGCCCGGCGGGACCATCCTGCCTTTTCTTAATGGGACAGGAGTGCAGGGCCTGTTCATTATCAAACAGATGTCCAGCGAGTTGGGCAACTCACAAGCCTCTGCTCTGAGAGCAGGGCCCGGAAAGGTCTGCTGGCGGGTAGGGGTGGCACCGGGCTGCCAGGTGACAGCGGTGTCAGGCCGCCCACACAACACAAGTGCTTCTCGGAGGGGACAGCACTTCCACCTGGCCCCCACTTGCTGGGCAGAGCACACAGAAATGGCACCGGTCCCTTCTCCCTCCCCACCCACTGTGCAGGGCCCAGAGAGGCCAAGAAGGTCCCCTCCCTTTTTCTTCTTTTTTTTCCTTTCTCTTTTTGAGACAGGGTCTCACAATGTAGCCCAGGCCGGCCTCAAACTCACCAAGATCCTCCTGCCTCAGCCTCCTAAATGCTGGGATTATAGGCGTGCGCCACCACACCAGGTAAGGCTCCTTTTCTACTTGGGCTTTCAGGGGCAAGGGGTCAACGGCACAGCCTCCCTGCCCGGAGCAGCACCCATCACTACACAGCGCCCCCTGGAGTTGGCAGCAGAGCCCCCCCACCGAGGTCCTCGGTGCAGCTGAACTGGGAGACACCGGGTGCTTACACCACAGTGTAGGACCCTGCTGGTTCCTGGTCCACTCCCTGGCCTAAGCGCTCATGTGCCCGGAGTCTCTCTGGACCCCCACCCCACTCTCACTGTCATGCCCGGGCGTCCCAGGGCCACAACAGCATCTTCCCACCCCACACCTGTTCCTGCACCAGGTGTCCCCAACCTCACACCGGAGTCCTTAAGTCCCGCCAGCTGCGGGTTCTCGGGGCTCCGGAGTCTGACCCTCTCCTTTGCTGGTGCTCTCTACCCTAGTTCGGGATGATCAAGCCCATGCCCTCCCCACTGCAGTCCCCCACGGTGAGCTTCATGGGACAGGCCAGGTCATTCCCCGGGGACATCTCTTCCGTGGCTCCTCAGGGTCCTTGGCAGAGCAGCCACCCTCCCTTTGCCTGGCACCCTTTGCCCCGATAACCTGCCTCCCAACCTCACTTGTGCCACCGCTCCCAGCAGACTCCACCCTATGGCACACCCAGGGCCACTTCCCTCCAGCGTTCCTGCTCTGCCTGCCACTGTGACCCATTCCCACCTCACCCCAAGACCTCTGCCTCTGTGTCTCTCCCCGATGCTGATGTGGGTCCCTCACTCAACCATGAGGTCCTCAGGGACAGCCTTGCCTTGGCCACCTGGGGTCCCCAGCGCTCAGCCCAGAGTCACCAGACCAGTGTGTGCACAGTGCCGAACCAGCAGGAACCAGTGTGTGGCACTCTGCAGTCGCTTCCTGACTGTTTCACACTGCCCTGCTGCATGGCTTTGTTTCATTTAATCCATGTAATCTCCTACCGTGTATAGCAGGAAGGGTTTAAACAATAAAGAAAGGAGGCTTTTGGCAGGACGCCAGCAGAGGGTGGCATTGAGGAAGGGTCCCCACCCTCCCCTGCTGCCCCATGGTGCCCCCACCTTTCTCAGGGTCCTTCAGGCTTGAGCGCACTGTCTCCACCGCCTTCTCCACCTGCTCGTGGCTGCACACATTGAGCTGGACGGTTCTCAGTCGATCACTGTTCAAGCTGTCCAGCTCCTTGACCCCAGCGTCCCCTTTGTCCTGGGGAAGAGAGAAAGGCTCACTCCGCTTCCCTCCTTCCCACCCGGGCAGACTCTAGACAGCCCCCAGTGCCTGCCACAGCCTCAGGATTAGCGGCAACAGCACACAGAAGTTTCTGGAGGCCTCACCAGTGGATGGGTCACGCCAACCTCTGAGCACAGGTGACACACACGCACCACACCAAGTGCCACAGTCACACCACAAGTAGGACAGAGACTGCCACACTGCTCACCGGCAGGGTTCTCTGTCTGCTTGTTTTTTGGCGGTTTTTTTTTTTTGGTGCTGGGGATTGAACTTGGGTCCTTGCGCTTGTGCCGCAGGCAGCAAAACCACTGAGCTAAATCCCCAGCCCAAGGTTCTCTTTCCTAGCAGGGATTGCAAACCCAGGTGGGCATCAGACAGTGGGGAGGCCGGGGAGCCTGGAGCAGAGCATGTGCCAGACGTTGCCCTATGCGTATGAACACCCAGGTTGCCAGATGCTTAGATAATTAAGCTAATGGGTGTGATTTCTCTTAATTCTTTGAGAGTTGGCAACTGATTGGCACTTAAAAAACTCAAAATCATGGTGTGAGCCAAAGCTATGCAGAGGCCACCTGTGCCCAGAAGGCTCAGCCTGCTGCCTCTTGCCCAAGGTGTCTGAGGCCAGTGCCGGACCCTGTTCTAGTCCCTCCCTAGACAGGCTCTATGCTCAGGTGTGGCCCTAACAGGTGCTCAGGTTTCCAGCAGTAAAAGAGAGTGCTGTCCTCACCTGTGCAGATCAATGGAGCAAGGAAATGGACTATTAAGAGAGCTGTGAAACTAATAAAGTGCTGTACCAATTCAGGTATTATTAAAGATGAGAAAATTGTCCCTCCTTTGGCAAATATTTCTTGGGCCTCTGTCACATTGTGGCACTGTGAGGCACAAAGATAAATACTTCAGCCCCTGCTCTGAGTTGTGTCCCCAGGAAGGAGACAGAGAGCGAGCAGATGGCATGGTGGGTGTGGGCTGTAGGGAGCCTGTGGGAGCACAGGACAGGGGCAGGTAGGGGAGAATTTCCAAAGGCAGCGATGGCTGGGGACACTGACAGAGGGATGGAGCAGGTCAGGAAGAGGTAAGAAGATGCCACCCTATGCCAGCTCCCACAGGCAGCACAAAACCAGAAGGATGTGGTGGCCATGAGGCTGTACAGGGCACAAGGGTCTGCTTGGGGGTCTCCATAAAAGTGGGCATCATTAGCTGAGTGCTGACTGTGCTGGGCACCGTGCTAAGCACTTGGCAGGCTTTCGCCCATTAGGCAAGGACAAGAGCAGGAAGCCCAGGACCGCCAGCATGGGTCAGGGATAGAAAGTTCTCTAGAGGTGAGGCTGAGCCTTGTGAATGGCTGGTACCCCAGGACTGGGGAAAGCACATCTTGCAATCTCAGCGGAAAAACTTAGGAGAAAATGTCAAAGGCGTTGGAGCCAATACCTCGAAGACTCGAGGGGGACGTGACCAAGGATCCGACCTGTTCTAGCATTCCTAGAGAACACAACTGGGGCCAGGGACTCAAGTTGAGCTCCAAATGAGGAGTAGTTTTCTCAGTCTTCAGGTGGCATGGGCTGCCCTGGAAGAGCTTAGGCCATGAGCGGGTACAGAGGGGAATTGTTTGGGGTGGAAGTAAGAGATTTGGTTAGACAATCGGGCCATCAGAGAGGGGAAGTGTGGCTCTCCTTCTAACAGCCCTCCTGACCCTAAACTGTCAGTCCCACCTGGTTTTCCAGCTCAAGGGAGCTTCGCCAGTTGCCCCTGAGGAAACAAGGTGGGAGCCGAAGTGGCTCTGCCCAGGCCAGTGCCAGGGAGGCTGATTCCACCTGGCCCCTCTACCCACAGCAGCAACGATGGAGTCAGTGAGGCTAAGCCTTGGCCCCCGAGTCCCCCCGGTGTGCCAACCTTTCCCAACGAGATGACGGTGTGGGAACCTCAGGGCAGCCCGGCCTGGAGCTCGTGCCGTCACTCAGAGACCTCCAGAAGAGAACTCCCCAGAATGGCGTCTTTAGGTCTGGGTGCCCAGGGCTGTCTCTGTCCTATAAATGGCACAGACACCTGAGAGCACCTGTCTGATAACCATCTTCCCCGTGGAGGCCCCTGTGAGTGGAGCCCATGTAGGTTGACTTCAAAGGGTTACCAGCCTCTATCACAGATTCTAGCTTAGATGCGTGTGAGGGGCTGTGTCCTTCCTCTTCTCCTCAGGACTGTGTTGACCCTGTCGCCATCATTCAGCTTCCCGTGGTCCTTGCACCAGACCTCTCTCGCGACAGGATCACGACAATGGCCATGCTGTCCCCAGGTGAGGCCCCCACTCCGGATCAGCGTCCCCACTCGTGGACTCACTTCAGCAGCTCAAGGGAGAAGAACCTTCTCTTCTCTGAGGAAATGGGGTTCATCTCGCGCTCAGCATGCAAGCCACAGACCACCGCGTGCCTTTATCAGCCCTGAGAAGCCTGCACACCGTGCTCCTGACAGCCGTGCCGACAGGGACGGGGACTCCAGGCCGGCCCCAGCCTGGGCCGCCTCCCTCAGTTCCCACTGCCACTGGCTGCAGGTTACAGTGGCCACAGGCCTCACTCCTGGGCCACACCACCTCCCGGCACTCTGTCCCCAGCGTCTGGCCCTTGAGGACAGGCTCCGGCCTTGCCGTGCTGGTGCTAGGCTACCTGGTTTATTGGTCAACCCACTTCTTTCTCGCTAGCCCTTTCAACCTCACCCACCAGCTGTTGTTTTCCCCACTTCTGGTTGAAGTTCAGGCTGCTCTTGGAGCTTTTCCACTCATCCTCAGACACAGGCCGAGAGCCTTTTGTTTCAGCAGAGTCCAGCTCTGTCCACCAACTGAGTGACTCCAGCCCAGTCTGGTGCAGAAGCCTGAACTCCCAACCTGTGCCCTGACGGAGTGTAGGAGGCGGGTGGTGGCGTGGATGCCCCTTCTCCCTGGGTTTTAGCTTCTCCCCCTCTCCTGTTCCCCTCTGTCTTTCCTCGGGCCAGCGCCAGGGGCTGGCAGATGCGGGGGCACGAGTGCAGCCTTCTGAGGTGGTGCCGCTGCTGTTGTTGCCCTGAGCTGCCAGGAGCCTGAGAGCCGGCCCTTCCTCCTAGGGGACCCTGTGGATTCCGGGGAGACAATGCCCCTGGGGATCTGTGACTTTCTGCCACTGGCATCTCTCCTCAGCCCATGCCCCACGCATGGCCCCTTGTAGCGGGCAGTCTCACTGGGTCAGTGGCCTTAAGACAGCTCTAACTGTCCACACAGCTTGTCCTGCCCCAACAGAAGGGCAGTCAGTTCCCTGTACAGCCCTGCGCTCTGCTTGCAAACACTCTAGCCTCATTCCTGGGCCTTTAGACTTCTTCTACTTCACAATGAACTACATCCCTGGCCTCTCTTTTATTTTTAATTTTGAGACAGGATCTTGCTAAGTCATCAAGTTGTCCAGGTAGGGCTGGAACTTGCGATCCTCCTGCCTCAGCCTCCCTGACTGAGATGACAGGCGAGTCCCATCACGCCCAGCTCAGGGTCAATCTCATGCTTCCCTGTGGTCCCACTGAACACTCTTGTGCGTCCCTGAGAATGCTTCTCACCCTAATTCTTCAGCTGTGCCTGTGTACGGTATCCCTTCACCATTGCACAGGTGGCTCCTTGGGGAGGGACTAGGTTTTACTCTTCTACAGCACACAGCAAAGCCTCAGGCACGACATTAGCACTGGAAAATGAATAAATGAACAAAAGATGGGTGCATGGATGCATGGACGGATGGACGGATATAGACGGATGGAAAAAGCTATGAAGAACAAGGGAGGCTGAAGCCAGCGAAAGTACAGGCTACTTTAAGCAATAGATGAGCCAGTTAGGAAAACACTGTTTTAAAAACCACAAAATTGTGGCTACCTGTGAAGGGCACTGGTGGAGAAAAGACCTTGCTCTTACCTTCAGCAAGCAGCCAGCAAACACAAGGAAGCCTTTTGAATGCAGATGCTTGGCTAAGGAGAACCCGAACCCAGAGTCGCAGCCTGTGACCAGGACAGCTTTGCTGCCAGCCTGTTTTAGAAGATCAGACCCCATGTTAGGAACCCAGGGTCCAGAGGCCAAGTGCCCAAGCCTCCTGGCCTTCTGGGTAGGAACTTATAGTGCTTGGTGTGTGGCCTAGGCTTGGTTTTCCAGCTTGGCACAAAGCACCAAGGAGTACTGAAGCAGCTTGGGACCCAGAATGAAGATACCCGACTCTGACCCATACTCTGCCACCAACTAACAGTGCTGCCCTGGGTGATGATTTTGGCTTTCAGGTCTGTTTCTCAATCTGCAATTGCCATTATCATCACCGTCGTCGTCAATGTCAAGCTTATTAGGTGCAGTACTTATGGACTGCTGGGGTTACTGTGCATGAAGCTTTCATATCTAAATCTCCTCCTAGCCCATGTAGTGGGTATGGTTATGAGAGCCCGGTATCAGTGAGAAAATACCGATGCGTAACGTCCTTAGCGATAGAGCTGGAACTGAAACCTGGATGGGGAGATTCTAGAGCTGAACTCTTTACCCCCACTTGCTGCTCCCACATGTACAGGAGGGTGTGGTTTTGTGACTGGGGGAGGTGGTCCTTGGGGGACAGGTCAATGAGAAAGTGGCTCAGCACGTCTTGAATGTGTTAAAGCTCTACTCTGAGGGTGGCAAGGTCTGGGGGCCCAGAAGGAAGGGCTCTGCCCCTCTGACCGCTTCCCTCAGCTTCCACTCACCGGGTTTACCTCACTGGCATAAGTTCGACGGCTGATCGGGGTACAGGAAGCAGAGAAAAACAACAGTGTGCGTCTGCAAGAGAAAAGGAAGGCATGAACATGAGTCTATGACCTTCTTAAGACCTTGTTCCAGGGGCAGAGGCAACAAAAGCACCTTCAACCAGCACCTGGCCTGAAGCCCTTGCTGGTACAGCTTGGAAAGAGGCCATCTTTCCACCAGGTGCCAGGCAGGTGGCCAGGGAGCCAGCGTTTGCAGTAGCCCATGTAGCTCTGGTACAGGAAGAGCCTTCCTGGGGAGAAAGCCAACCCAGAAGCCACTTTTGCTGGGAGGCCCTGCCAAAACATGACTGGCTCATGTGGCTCCAACCAAGTCCCATTTTCTGCCCTCCAAGGTGACACGGGTGGTGACACTTCAGCCTAGCCCAAGTATGGGCCCTCCTTTCAATGATATGGCTTAGTGAAAGCTTTCTGCAAAGCCAATGTCTTAACCCCCATAGGTTTAATACTGCTTCCTAGTAGTTATTTTAATTAAACTTGTTATTTTTAAATAATTATAGACTCACATGCAGTTAAGAAATAATACAGGGAGAAGTCAGGTACCTTTTACCCAATTTCCCCTAATGGCAGCATCTTACAAAATTGCTGCACAACTAGGATACTGACACTGATACAGTAAAAATACAGAATGCTGGGGCCGGGGATTTAGCTCAGTGGTTCCACCACCTGCCTAGAAAGCGCAAGGACCCAAGTTGTTATGGTTTATAGCTAGATGTCCCCCAGGAGTCTTATGCACTCATAGGTGGGGATTTTAGAAGAGGATTGAACCATGGGGATGCCACAGCTGACTTGCTACTGGGAGGCGGAGCCTATGAGCAAGGTGGGTCCCTAGGAGCGTGGCCTGGAAGGGGTACTCTCCCTCCCTGGCTCCTCCCTTCTCTCACTGCTTCCTGACCACCATGCAGTAAGAAGCTCTCCCCCACCAGAAGCTTCTACTCTGCCTGCTTGCCTTGGAGCTTGCCAACTGTGGACTGAAAACATGATCCTAAATAAACCTCGCCTCTTTTACATTGCAGGTGTTTGGTATTGTGTCCTAGTGATGGGAAAGTTGAGGAAGACACCTTCCATCACCACTAGCAACCTTCCTAGTACCCTTTTATAGCCACACCTACTCCCCTCCCAACCCACCCTCCTTAACCACTAATCTGTGTAACTGAGTCGTTTCAAGAATGTTATACTAACAGAATCATACAGTATGTAACCATTGGGGTTTGGCTTTTTTCCATTCAACATCATTCTTTGGAGACTCTTCCAGATTGCTGTTTATATCACGTCTGTTCCTTTTTATTGCTGAGTAGTATTCTATAGTGTAGGTATTTGTTTAATCATTTACCTCTTAAAGGACATCTGGGTTGTTTCCAGTTTGGAGCTGCTATGAAGAAAGCTGCTATGAACAACCCTATTGAGGTTTTAGTGCAAAACCAATTTTTATTTCTCTTGGATAAATGCCCAGGAGTAGAATTGTTGGGTCATACAGTACTTTCATGTTTAGTTTTTTAAGAACTGCCAAACCGTTTACAACTACAACTACAACCATTTACAACTACAGAGTGGTTGTAGCATACCACACCCCCAGCAGAAACATAGGAGTGACCCAGTTTGTCTGCATCTTTACCGGTATTTGATGGTATTGCTATTTTTTATTTTAGCCATGCTGAAAACTGGGTAATGATTGTTTCACTGTGATTTTGATTTGCATTTCTCTAATGGCCAATGATGTTAAATATCTTTTCATGTGTTGTCAGTTTGAGCTGCTAAAACAAAATACCATAGTATGGGTGGCTTACAAACAGAAAGGCTTATAAATAGTGGAAATCTCTTCTGTCCTGGAGGACGAGAAATGCCCAAGATCAAGAGGCCAGAAGACTGTCTAGTGGGGGCCTACTTCCTTCACAGAACCATGTCTCTTCACCATGACTTCCTGGTACAGATGGGGAGAGGGGTGTCCTAGACCTCTTTCACAATGGCACTAATCTCATTTGTCAGGGCCCCACCTCCTCATATCAACTCTACTCATGGATTTGAGAGGGACAAGCACTCAGGCCTCAGCACCACTTATATGTCCTCTTCAGTAAAATGCCTCTGCTCATGTTCTGCCCATATTCTCAGTGGACTGTTCTTTCCCTATTGAGGATGTTCTAGATACTAGCTCTTTAGCTCATCCATGCTGTACAAATCTTTCTTCCTAATCTATAACTTACCCTTTTATCTTCTTACCAGGGTCTACTTCAGGATAAAACTATTTCATTTTTTTCTTTTTGTGGGTTATGCAGAACCTTTTGCCTAACTACAGAACCTTTGCACTGACCTGCATCCCTGGACTGTTTTTATTTATTTATTTATTTATTTATTTTTGGTACCGGGGATCAAACTTGGGTCCTTAGCTTGTGAGGCAGGTGGTGGAACCACTGAGCTAAATGCCCAGCCCCTTATTTTTAATTTTGTGAAAGAACCTCATTAAGTCACCAGGTTGCCCAGATTGGGCCTGAATTTATAATCCTCCTGCCTCAGCCTCCCAGAGTGCGGGGATCACAGGTGTGCACCATCATGCCTAGCTCTATATTTGTTGGTTTGTTTTCTAAAAGCTATATAAATTTGCATTTTACATTTTAGGTCCATGACCCATTTTGACTTAACTTTTGTACATGAGACTTCGGTCAAAAGGGGATTTTCTGCCTATGAATTTCCAATTGCTGCAGCACTTGTTTGAAAATGCTGTCTTCTGTCTACTGGATCACATCTGCACTTCTGTCAAAAAGCAGTCAGGCACTGTTGTGCAGGTCTGTTTCTGGATTTGCTCTTACGTTGCGCTGATCTTGGGCTCCTAGCTTAGTTTACTTTTTAAATATCGATTTACCTATTCTACCCACTTTGTCTTTCTATGTAAGCTTTAGAATACTCTTGTCTTTATCTACAAAAAAATCTGACTGATACTTTAATAGAAATTGTGCTAAACCCATAAAGTCAATTTGGAGAAAATGGACATGTTCATGTTGCTGAGTCTTCCAATCCCTGAATGTGGTATGGGTCTCCGCTTATTTAGATTTTTTACTCATCTGTGTTGTGTAATTTTCAGCAGACAAATTCTAGACCTGTTTATGTTTTCTTTTACTATACCTAAGTATAATAAAGGATAATATTATACCTAAGTACAATAAAGTATAATACCTCTCTCCCTCCGCCCCTCCCTCTGTCCCTCCTTCTTGGTGCAAGGGACCAAACCCAGGGCCTCACACATGCTAGGCAAGCCCTCTTCCATGGAGCTACACCCTCAGCCGATACCCCTGTTCTTTTTTCCTTTTGAATAGTTCAAACAGTATTGGTTTTAATTTTTATATGCATATTTTCTTTGCTAGTACATAGGAATACAATTCATATTTGTGTTTGCTAAACTCACTCATTTTGGGAATTGTATATTCCTTGGGATTTTGTATGTAGACAATTTTGGTTTTCTTTTCTGACCTGTATGACTTTCTTTTCCTGCCTTGCTGCCCGGGCTGCCACTTACAGCACTATCTTAGGAGCGATGCATTCAGGTCTCACTGTTAAGGATGATGTTAGTCACAGGTCTGTTGTAAATGTTAATCATTGAGTTGAGGAAGTTCCCTTCTGGGTCTCTTTTTCTAAGTTTTTTTTTTTTCAATCGTAAGCGATTGTTAAATTTTGTTTTTCCTGCATTGATAGAATCATGCAATTTTTCTTCTTTAGTCTATTAATTTGCCAGATGACATTGATTTTCCAATAAGGAACCATTCTTCCATTCCTAGAACAAACACTTGTTCGTGGCTTATAGTTCTTTTTAAATCTGGCTGAATTCTATTTGTTAATATTTTAAAGATTTTTGCATCTTTATTCATGAGAGATATTGGTCAGTAGTTTCCTTCCTTCTTTCCTCCTTTCCTTCCTACTCTTTTCTTTTCTTTTTTTGCAGTACTGTAGCTTGAACCCAAGGCCTCATGTTAATCAAGCACTCCCACAATGAGCTACAACCCCAGCCTTTTACATTTTATTTTGTGACAGAGTCTTGTTAAATTGCCCAGGCTGGCTTTGAACTTGTAATCCTTCTGCCTCAGCCTCCCAAGTAGCTGGAATGACAGATGTGGATCACAGCACTCTTCCCACTGGCCCCATCTCTGCTTCTCTGGGGAGCACAGGGCTCCACCCCTCCACTTCAGGCTGAGGCAGAACCTTGCCAAGGTGGGCAATAGGCCCCAGAAGTGCTGGACAGCTCTGGCTGGCACCATGGTGCCTCATGGGCACTGCTGGCAGTGCCTGTCCTGCTCTATTTCTCTGCCCTCAGTCCCGTTGGAACTCCTGCAGTCTTAGGAATCCTCAGCTCGTTGCTGTCTCTCTCTGGGTAGGACCTTTGGTCTCAGAAGGTCTCAGTGCCTCAGTTCTCAGCATTAATTGACAAGCACCAAGGGGGCTCATTAAAGTGCAAACTCTGGCTCAGTGATGGCAAACCTTTTAGAGACTGAGTGCCCAAACTGCAATGCAAAACCCCCTTATTTTATCACAAAGTGCCAAACCTGCAATTAAACCTGAATAGTGAGGTTTTATTTAGAAAAAACAACACTACATTAACATCTTTTGTCTTAAAAAGAAAAACAATGACATGCACGCCATAGGTTCAACACTGCTGCTCTAGTCAGTAATGCACAACTCAGCTCAGGGATCTGGGTTCTGTGAGGCAGCCCCCCTTGGAGAATGGGGGTGGAGTCTCCAACTGCAGAGTAATCATAAAATGGAGTCTAGGTGTTGTGAGAAAATTGTCTGAGATATTGGCTGCTCCATAGGCGCCTTGGTCAAAACCTTTCTGAGGCCAGGCGTGGTGTTGCACGCTGGTAATCCCAGCACTTGAGAGGACAAGGCAAGAGGACTCATGTTAGTTAAGTTCAAGGCCAACCTGAACTACATAGCGAGTCTCTCTCCAAACACCAAAAACAAAGCAAAACACTGCTTTCTGGCTCAGTATCAGCCACTGAGCAGATAACCGTGTGTATCTGGGATGATTAA